GGTTTTTCCAGTCCCCCTTCAAAGCCCGCCAGTGGGCGGCCCTCACCACATCCCTGGGCAGCGAATGAATGCCACAGCTTCACAATGCGCTGGGGAGAGAAGAAGCCTGTCCGGATCAGCCCCGAATCCCCCGCCCATCCGCCTCAGGGGAGTATTTCCTTTTTCCAGTGCTATGCGGGAGGGTGAAGAAGGCCTCCTTCTCCACCCCAGGCATAATTCCAGACACTTCCATCCTGTCTCTGCTCCATGCTCTTTTTCCAGGCGAAGCAACGCCTGCTGCGAAACTTTCCACGCCGGGGAGCAGCTTCAGCCCCTTGGTCCTTCCGCCTGGCCCTTTCCACACTTTTTCCTGCTCTGCAAAATCCTCCCTTAACTGCAGGGACCAGAATGGCACAGGATAGTCCAAGCACGGTTGCGCCGACGTTTGGTACACGGAGAGCCAGAACGTGGCAGTCGCGTGTCCACTTCCACGGCTTATTATGCCTGCGTGGAGTCCGCCCCCTTCGCAGCAGCCACGGGGGGTCTCCGCATCGCCACTGAGCTGCCCCCTGCCCCTTTGCTGGCCAGCCACTGCACACTCGGGTCCCGTCAGCCTGAAATCGGATCCCAGTCGGATCCCAACTCGGATCCCATTCAGGTGATTTTGAAAAAGCCTTCCTTGAGTATCTTTTTCTGCCCAGCTCATCATTTCTGCCCATTCTAAGCACAATCCAACCATCCAAACGCTGCCAGGACACCTTGTTTTTCTAACCCGAACCCTACCCTGGTGCCCACCCCTAACCCTAATATAGGGGTAAAATACCATAGAAAAGAGTGTGATTTTAAAAAAGCCTTCCTTGAGGAGCTTTTTCTGCACAGCTCATCGTTTCTGCCCATTCTGAACATTCCAACCATCAAAATCATCCCAGGACCCCTCGTTTTCCTGACTCTAGCCCAGTGACGGCGAACATTTTAGAGACCAAGTGCCCAAACTGCAACCCAGAACCCACTTATTTATCGCAAAGTGCCAGCCCTACAATTAAACCTGAAAACTGAGGTTTTACTTTAGAAAAACACCTCACAGCCAGTCCAAGCAAATATATATATACGCGCACACACACACACACACACACTTGAGCAGTGCACTGAATGGCCATGCGAAAGCTCAGACGAGTCGTGGCTAATGAGTTGCGGCTCGTGACGTCATCGCCTGGCACCGCTACTCCTTTCTGGGCGTGCGCATGGCCCCTGTGTGCGCTGTCATCTGATGCTCGGCTGCTGGGGCGCTGCTGGGGCGACTGGGCTCGCGTGCCGACTGAGAGGGCTCTGTGTGCCCGCTGTGGCCCGCGTGCCATGGGTTCACCACCACTGATCTATGGAGTCGGCCTGTGCCTGCTGCAGATTGTAGGCTCCCTGTGGGCAGAGATCTCTGGGAGTGCCTTTCAAGGAGTGGTGCTCCTGCGCAAAGATCAGGTGATGGAGGGTAGGAGACGCCGCGAAGCCGGGGAGGGAGCGGGTCGAGCAGCTTGGAGGAGACGGGCAGAGCATTCGCCTCCCCTTTGGCAAGAAGGCCGTGACTAGAAATGGGCCCCGTCGCCCTGGAAAGGAGGCCGGGGCGGTGGCGCTGTGGGCGTGCTTTGTCGGCCGTCGGGTGCGCACTCACGCCCCAGCAAGCACCAAAAGCGCCGCGAGCAGCGCAAGCCAATTAAATCAAAGGGGGCTCATTTCGCAGCCGCTTTTCCAGCGACCGACCGCGGCTCAGGGCTCAGCCTCGCTCTGGGTCTGGAACTAGGTCAGAGTCCAGTGGCTGAGCACCTGCTTCCCCACAACTGTGGGGACGGGTGGGAGGAGGCCTCGTTCTGGCTGCTTCCCGGAGGGGCAGGCTCCAGGCTCACGCCCTGCGGCTCTCTGGGCCATCCCTAGCCCGGGCGGCTTGCATGGGGGGCTGACCTCCAGCCTCTGCCGACCAGAGACAAGAGCCCTGCTCTTGTTACCTGGCCCCGGGCTCAGAGAGGAGGGGTGCGGATCCACCAGCTCGTCTTGAGCCAGGGTCCCTCGCCTGTCGGCTCATCTCAGCACTGGGAAAATTACCGAATCGAAACGTTTGAAGCTGCTTGCAGGGCAGGTTCCTCCCACCCTACCTGCCAGGTCTGAGGTACCCCTGAGGGGCTGCTGATACCTGGTCCTGCTGGCTTGACCCCTGTTCCCCCTCCACGCCTTGGGGCTCTGCCATGTGCAGGTGCCAGGCGCCCGTCTGGAAGCCGGCATGTGGCCCGTGGCTTCCCCAGCGTGCCCGTGACAAGGAGGGCCCCTGCGCCTGCCAGGCCGCTGAGCGGGCCACGCTGCCACGCGGGCCTGGCCGGGCCGCCCACGTGAGGAGGACTCCGGGCGGCGGCAGGAGCTGCTGCGCTTGGCACCGGCTGTCGGAGCGATGGATGTCCCGTCGCCGCACCTGACAGCCGCCCCGCCGCCCCGGGGAAGGGCGCCTCACGGTGCCAGCCGCGTCGGGCCCTGTCACTTCGCATCCCGGCCTGCCTGCTCCCCGGATGGGCAGCCGGCTCTACGGTTGCGACACATGGAGGCGCCTGATCTGGACAGCAGCGCCTGGGGCTGAGCCGTGTCCTGGCTCCGCTGCCGCTTCAGCGAGCTGCCCGGTGGGGCGGGCAGAGCGGCTGCTCCTCTTCCCCACTGCCCCCACTCGCTGGAGTGCCCCCACTCGCGCGGGACCTATTTTCTCAGTGCGTGCCCCAGATTCGTGGTGGATCCTGCAGCGGAGAGGGCGCCTCGCCTCCTCACTCCCCGCCCCGCCGTGTCCTGCAGCAAGCAGGGCGGAGCTGTGAGGACCGTAAGCCTTGCCCCGTGCCCAGCTTGCCCCACAGCTCGGCAGCCCAGGAGGGCGTGAGGGGTGCCCTCCCCCCCGGCCGGGCCCCGAGCACCTGCAGTGTGGGCACTGCATGTCGGCGCTTGGGTGGCCGTTCGCCCCCTGGCACCAGAACACCTGGGGGTGCCACCGGGCCCGGGCACTTCCACAAGGGGGTGCCGCAGCCATGGGCAGCCAGCTGGGGCTGGGGCTGGGTGCCACCGGGGTGGAGGAGCGCGCACCCGTCGGCTCCGTGCGGGGCTGCTGTCCCGGGCCGGCAGTGCCGGAGCCTCTCCCGGGCTGCCCCACGTGCCGTGATCAGGCTCTTGGCCTCCTCGGGGCAGAGCAGGAGAGCGGCAGGGAGCGGCAGGGGCCCACGCGTGCCAAGAGGGGCTTCCCGCCCGGGACGTGCCCCTTCTCCACTGCGCTGACTCGGGGGTGGGCGCCCCGCCTGGGCTCAGCCAGGGACTTCACGCAGCTCACCTGGGAGGCGGGAGGCATGTTCATGCCCCGCGTCCCCCGCTGGGAGGGGGTGCTGGACGCGCGGCAGCTGGAGTGGCCCAGGCAGGTGGGCCAGCGCCAGAGAGCCGGGGCGGGGGGGCGTTCGTTTCAAGAGCAGCCCCAGTCCTGGCCACAGGCTGGCTCTCCCTTGCCCGCCTCTCTCGGTAGCTTGGGCTGCGCCCTTTAGCTGGGGCCCGCTAGCCATCGAAGCCTGTGAAGCGGGGCCCCCCGGAGACGCAATTCTGACAGATTTTCCCGGCGTGGCCTCTTGGATTCCGATCTGCCAGCCATGTGCTGGCACTGGCACTGGCTCGCCATGAGGCAGGTGGAATCGCCCCCAGGCCCCTTCTCTAAGAGGGGCCGTGACCTGTGCCTTTGAGAAGCGCGCTCGGGAAGGCCGCTCGAGCTCTGCCTGTGGGAGCAGACCAGCCGCCAAAGGGACGTGGCCTGAGCGTGGCCTGTGCAAGTCGTGCCAAGCCCAGGTGCTTTTGGGGCGCTGGTGTGTTTTGCACAAATGGCATAAATGTTTTCCAGTTGCACGAATCATGGTATTTTGCGCACATTTCCATACCTGCAAGGGGAGCATCAGGGGAGGGCCAGAGTCCCTCGCATGTGCAGGATTCAGCGTATGTCATGTCTGGAAGGCGCATCTCAGTTTTATTCTCACATGGTTGCGAATTAAGCGCTTCTGCATCACTGTGATGAAAACCTTCTTAAACCCTTCTGCCTCCCACAAGCGGGAAGGCGGGGGGAACTTGTGCTGCTGGCTCCCCAGATAGTTTCCCCTTTGCCCCACAATTATGCCCACTCAGGTGGAGCACAGAGTGGTGGTGAATTGATTTCTGTCTGGGCTGA